TTTTTGAGACAGCATCTTGCTCTGTTGCCCAAGCTGGAGTACAGTGGCATGATCATAGCTCACTGCAGCCTCAAACTCCCAGTCTCAAACGATCGCGCTGGCTCAGCCTCTGAAAGTACTGTGATTACAAGCTTGAGCCACCTCACTTGGCCCCAGTTCTCATTTAAAAAATATATTAGAACTCATGTTAATTCGGTATTATAAGAGGCATTTGTTACTTCAGTAGTAAACACGATACCTTAGACTATTTCCTTGAAGGATTTTTTGCCATGGTTAGGTGATGCCTTTCAAGTGATTAAAATTCATTTTTCATTTTCTAGCTTCTGACTCTTTCTCACTCATTTAACAAGCTAAAAATCTTACATTCTCTTTACATTACCTTTCCTTGGGAATTGAATAAATATCTTGAAAACAGCAAATTCCTTATAGAAAGGAAAACAAGCAAACAAAAAACAAAAAGAACAAGAGGATGTGACTATTTTGCTGTATTTGTATTTTCCTTTTTTGTTTGTTGGTTTGTTTTGTTTCCTTGAGACAGAGTCTCTCTCTGTTGCCCAGGCTGGAGTGCAGTGGCATGATCTCGGCTTACTGTAACTTCCGCCTTCCAGGTTCAAGCGATTCCTGTGCCTCAGCCTCCCAAGTAGTTGGGATTACAGGTGCGAGCCACCATGCCCGGCTCATTTTCTTATTTTTAGTAGAGATGGGTTTTCGCCATGTTAGCCAGGCTGGTCTCCAATTCCTGGCCTCAAGTGATCCACCCATCTCGGCCTCCCGAAGTGCTGGGATTACAGGTGTGATTGCTGTCTTGAAATCATAGACCTTATTTTCTAAGCATAGACCTCATTTTCTTAGGCTCTAAGGGGTCTAAGTGTATGGCTGTGAAGGTGCCTGACACTCTGAAAAGCCAACACGGATCGCACACTAACAAATGTTTACTTACGGGAAGGCTTTGTTAACTGAGTGATGGAAGCTATTGCTCTCACATAGAGACTATTGACATTAGCTTTATTTCCTGGTCCTAAACATTACACACTGCAGATAAAGGAGTTCCTAGGCATTTATTTGTCATGGCATCGAGGCTGACAGCCAAAGTAATCATTACACTAATACAGCAAACCCAGAAAGAGCAATGAAGAGCAGGCAAGCAAACAAAATCAACGTCTCTGCTGAAATATGCCTGTGTGTGAGCGTCCCATGACCTGGTGCTCCGGCAACCGCTCGCCCGTGTGTGGAGGCCATCATCCTTGTGTTGGAGTTGTCCATCCAAGATCAGGTGCCTGCAGAAAGAATGGGAGCTTCCAGAACTGCTAATGTGAAACTTTGATTGAAATGAGATGCCTGGGAATGAGTGATTTCTTCTTTTTAAATTCTTTTTCATTGCCTTTCAAGAATTCTTAGAATTAGCTGGTTTTGAACTCCTGACCTCAGGTGATCCACCTGCCTCGGCCTCCCAAAGTACTGGGATTATGGCAGGAACCACTGTGCCTGGCCCAAATTTCCCCTTTTCATAAGGACACAAGTCATGTTGCGTTAGGTCCCACCCCAATGAACTTATTTTAGCTTGATTGCCTCCACCAAGATCCTACTTACAAATCAGGTCACATTTTGAAGTACTGGGGGCTGGGACTTGAACATACTTTTTTGAGGGGATGCAACTCAACTCATAACAGTGGTCATAGTATGAACAGCATGCCCTGGAAAGTCACACATCACATTTATGATAGTGGTATCTTCCAGACAGGGAAGAGGACACCATGGAAAATTGGATTAGGAAGAGGTATTAGAGAGCTTCACCAGTAATGTTTTATTTCCTTAATAAAACAAATTCAAGTCTGGAATTAATATGAAAAGAATTAGCATGAGTTAATATTTGATCTTCTCTATGCTTCACTGTAGTCTAATGTTTCAAGTTTTTAAGAGAAGAGAAAACAGGAAGCCATTTGAGCCAGTGTTTTCTGCTTCCAAATGCACAGGATTGGGTTGTACAGTATGAGCCCATCTTTTATGGAAGCTTAAGTCCTCTGTCTTCTGATTTTCAGGACATGAGGTTCTGCCTGCAGTCAGCAACTTGGAATATTCAGACTTCAGACCAGCATCACAGATTATAACCGTCCGTAAATCACCCGCAGCCCAGCTCCCATCAAAAGCCAGCCTGCAAGACCCATGGACACGTGACTCCAGTGTTGCCAACAACATCTTAAGATCAAGTTGGTTTGAGCAACGTGAGCATCTATTTGGGACAAAGCAAGAACAATAAGGGTAAAAAAGTAAGTTTTCATGCAGCTGAATTTATTCAGTTAAATGAACTACCCTTCCTTTTGAGATGGGGTCTCCCTCTCTTCTTTTTTTTTATGTCCATAAAGTGTTTTATGAGATAATGGTGATAGTCATTTGTGATAGCTGCCATTGCCTTTAATGTCCTTAGATGGCAAAACAGAATTTTAGTGGGACTAATTTCTTTCCCTCTCCCCACTCTCTGCAATAAAAAACAATTTTTTTTTTTTTTTTTTTTTTGAGACAGAGTCTCGCTCTGTCGCCAGGCTGGAGTGCAGGGGTGCGGTCTCAGCTCACTGCAACCTCCGACTCCC